TTACAAGCATTATTGGATGAAGATGCATGTCAAACTCAAAAACAACTTGCAGAAATATTAAACGTTGCTCAGCAAACAATTTCTTATCATTTACAAGCAACGGGAAAGATTTTAAAGGAAGAAAAATGGGTGCCACACAAAAGACAAATGGAAAACTGAAAAGTCATCAGTAAAATGTTGCTTCAACAGCACGAAAAGAAAGTCTTTTTTGCATCGAATTGTGATGCGATGAAAAGTGGATTTATTTTGAGAATCCCAAATGCCATATGAATTATTTTTCACCCTACCAATTAAAACAAAACAAAACTGACAACCCTACTGCTAGCTGAATGCCTGGTAGAACTGGCATATCCTTTCTGGAGGACAATCTGGAAGTACATATCAAACTTTAAAACCCCTTATATATATCCCTCAACCTAACAATTCCATTTCTAGAAATTCACTCTAGGGAGACAACAGAGTCAAAGATAATATAATGCAGAGGTTCCTAAACCTAGCAGCATATCATAGCACCTGAACAATCTCACTCACCTAAAGTAATAAATTTCTTACTTCCAACAAACAGGTAGAAGGAATTGTTAGCCTCCAGAAATTTTTAAATAAGTGAGCAATAAGAAAATGAAAATTTGGGAGGCACACGCACTTTCTGAGCAGCACTTCAAAACATACAAAGAAGTGGAAAATTGGGTCTCTGAATGGTTTGCCTCAAAACAAGAAAAGTTCTATTGGGACAGCTCTTGCTGTCTCTGAAAAGAACACATTAAAAAAAACAACAACTAAATAATTGAAAGACAAATAGCCCAGTGTAAAATATGGGCAAAGGATTTGAATAGACATTTATCCAACGAAGATATACAAATGGCCAATAGCACGTGAAAAGGTGTCAACGTCGTTAGCTATCAGGGAATGCCAATCAGAACCATGAGGTGTCACTTCACACCCACTTGGATGACTAGAATCAAAAGGCAGAGAATAACACTGTGGATCAGAATACGCAGAGAGAGAGAACAGAGACGAGAAAGGGGTACAGGACCATATCTTGAGAAACTCCAAATTTAACTGCCAAAAGAAGAGAACCAGCTTTTAATGAAAACTAAGATGCAGCTGCCAGATGTTGCTTCAACAGCACGAAAAGAAAGTCTTTTTTGCATCGAATTGTGATGCGATGAAAAGTGGATTTATTTTGAGAATCCCAAATGCACAAAATCATGGGTTGACCCAGGTCAACCATTAACATCGAATTCAAGGCCAAATCACTTTGGAAAGACAATGCTTTGCGTTTGGTGGGATCAGGAAGGTGTGGTGTATTATGAGCTGCTAAAACCAGGTGAAACTGTTAATACTGATCGCTACCGACAACAAATAATCAATTTGAACCATGCTTTGATCGTGAAACGACCAGAATGTGCCAGAAGACATAGCAAAGTAATTTTGCTTCATGATGATGCACCATCACACACTTCAAAACCCGATAAAGACGTTAAAAGATCTTGCCTAGGAAGTATTAACCCACCCATCGTATTCACCAGACCTTGCTCCTTCAGGTTACCACTCGTTCTGATCGATGGCACACGCACTTTCTGAGCAGCACTTCAAAACATACAAAGAAGTGGAAAATTGGGTCTCTGAATGGTTTGCCTCAAAACAAGAAAAGTTCTATTGGGACAGCTCTTGCTGTCTCTGAAAAGAACACATTTAAAAAAAAAAAAAACAACTAAATAATTGAAAGACAAATAGCCCAGTGTAAAATATGGGCAAAGGATTTGAATAGACATTTCTCCAACGAAGATATACAAATGGCCAATAAGCACGTGAAAAGGTGTAAACGTCATTAGCTATCAGGGAATGCCAATCAGAACCATGAGGTATCACTTCATACCCACTTGGATGACTAGAATCAAAAAGGCAGAGAATAACACTGTGGATCAGAATACGCAGAGAGAGAGAACAGAGACGAGAAAGGGGTACAGGACCATATCTTGAGAAACTCCAAATTTAACTGCCAAAAGAAGAGAACCAGCTTTTAATGAAAACTAAGATGCAGCTGCCAGAAAAGGAGCAAATCAGTTGGTTGTAGAAGGCAAAGGCAGAGAACACGTCAAAGCAGTGGACACAGTCAGTGCAACCTAATACAGATAAAAAGTTACGTAAAATGAATGAAAGCGTTTCTTGGATTTAGTGACATGGAGATCATAGCATTTCCCTACAATGATGGTGACAAAATTACTAAGACCTTAGGCTATCTTTTTGCACATTATAATGCATAACATGTCCCTCAAACATTAAAGGTTTAAAATAAATGAGTACCTTGATTATCTGCAATTAGTCTCAAATCCTCTTGAAAGATGAGTCTGGAAAATAAAAAATGATTAGAGTAAGCAAGCTGACAAGTTCACAAAACCACAGTATGGACCCTTTAAAATTACCTAAAAGATATCAGCCTCCATAAAAGACTGTCTTACAAAGCAAGATTAATACGACTTCCAACTTCTTACTGATCGGGACAGGTGTGCTGACATCTGCCACATTTGCCAAGACTGAGACCCAGCGCCTGGCCACAGTGATAAACACCATCCTGCATTAGAACACGTCTGCGTGATTCTGGCAAGACCAACAACTACAAAACAGCAACAAATAAGGCAATGAAGCAGGCATCCAGACCACCTTCCATCCGAAAGACACGTGTCGGCCCCAGATTCGGACTGGTTTCATAAGTAAAGGAGAAGTGACATGGAGATCATAGCATTTCCCTACAATGATGGTGACAAAATTACTAAGACCTTAGGCTATCTTTTTGCACATTATAATGCATAACATGTCCCTCAAACATTAAAGGTTTAAAATAAATGAGTACCTTGATTATCTGCAATTAGTCTCAAATCCTCTTGAAAGATGAGTCTGGAAAATAAAAAATGATTAGAAAAAGCAAGCTGACAAGTTCACAAAACCACAGTAAGGACCCTTTAAAATTACCTAAAAGAGATCAGCCTCCATAAAAGACTGTCTTATAAAGCAAGGTTAATACGACTTCCAACTGCTTACTGATTGGGACAGGTGTGCTGACATCTGCCACATTTGCCATGACTGAGACCCAGCGCCTGGCCACAGTGATAAACACCATCCTGCATTAGAACACGTCTGCGTGATTCAGGCAAGACCAACAACTACAAAACAGCAACAAATAAGGCAATGAAGCAGGCATCCAGACCACCTTCCATCCGAAAGACACGTGTCGGCCCCAGATTCGGACTGGTTTCATAAGTAAAGGAGAAGGAAACGGGAAGACACAAGTCACCTACTCTGATGACCAACTTCGGTTTAAATCCTCAATGAGACACAGCTCTGTGGAAGCTACTGCGACAGCCTCCTGCCATCCCACCAATTCATTGATGCAGACAGTGGGAGAACGAATGCAGCTCATCTTGACGGTAGGGCCGAGGTCCCTTAAAAACTCCCTACAACCCTGCGGCCCCCGAGGCCAGCGACCCTGTCCTCACTTCGGGCAGGACTTCAGTCTCTCTGTTCCCTCCTCCCACCTGGCAAGTCCCCCCTTTTAACTGCGAAACAAGCCATCAAACAGCCAGGGAAAGACCGCAATTGGGGAAATAAGGCTCCGACATGAAAGGAGTTCGTGCCAACCTCTGTCCCACACGGACCCATCCACCCCCTTACCCAGGAGTCGCGAAATAACAAACCAGTCCTAAAAGAGGCTCGCCGCTCTCGGACCGCGCAGACTTCAGATGGAGCTCGCCATGACACTGACGTCCCGCCACGTCCACTGCGCATGCCCGGCGACGGTGGCCCGCAAGGACCAAATTGCCTCACTGCTGGAGCGCGACTTCTGGTTGGATTCCCTTCCGCGAGGATTACGTTTACGTTTCTTCCGGTTGCAGCGGTAAAAGTACAACCTCAGGGCATCGGGTTCTTAGGATCGCTAAAGAGCTAACTTCTGAGCTCTTGCTATGTATCAGTCACTGTGTTAAGGTAAGGGCTTTACAGACACATCTTCTTCCGATTCATTTATTATTACATCTTATTTTACAAAAGAGAAAACCGGAAGTTTAAGTGCTTGCCCAAAGTTACTGCCCAGGTAATGACTGACCTCTGTGATGAATCCAGCTTTCCTGGCTCCCAAAGAACCTGCTCTTTTCGTTTTGTTTTCTAGCTTCCTCAACCTTTTGTGAAAAGAGGTTTCAGCGGTTCTCAACCTGTGGGTCGCGACCCCTTTGGCGGTCAAACGACCCTTTCACAGGGGTCGCCTAAGACCATCCTGCATATCAGATATTTACATTACGATTCATAACAGTAGCAACATTACAGTTATGAAGTAGCAACGAAAATAATTTTAATATTTACATTATGATGCATAACAGTAGCAACATTACAGTTATGAAGTAGCAACGAAAATAATTTTATGGTTGGGTCACAGCATGAGGAACTGTATTTAAAGGGCCAGAAGGTTGAGAACCACTGGATAGATAAAGAACGATGATAGATTAAATTTTAATATAGTTCATTTAACACCAAGCAAGTTTTTTTTTTTGTTTTTTGTTTTTTAATGTTTAGAAGGCAGTTTAGCACAGAAAGAGAACTTTCATGGAGTATACTGATTCTGACCTGGTGGTCTTACATGCGTTACGTCACTTTATATTCTTTCCCCAAGACACTGTATTTGACCTTCTGTTCCCCAGAAGAGCGTCTCTACTTCAAAATGTGGAGCCCATGAGCCATAAACAGAAAGTCAGGCCCTGGCTGGTTTGGCTCAGTAGATAGAGTGTCGGCGTACTCATTGTATTCACCTGAGGGGCTTTTGAAAATTACAAACAACTGAGCCCCACATCAGTTAAATCAATCTCTGTAAACCGAGCCTGGGCATCAGTATTTTTTTAAACTTTCCAGTAATTCTCATGTGTGTAGCCACAGCTGTGAAACCAGTTTTCATACTAGGTGTACTGGTTAATAATGCGGATTTTTTTCAATAGATGGAGTTACACATATGTTGATATAGATGCGATTTGATATGTATGCTATTTTGTTGTATTGACAGGCTTCAAAACTTCATATGTCAAATTTGCTAAAGGTGTTAACATCATAGATGTTTTTACACTTAAAAATGTCGAATTTCGTGCCCAAAAAAAGAGCATTTGCGGGAAGTTATAATTCATTACTTTATTTTGAAGAAAAGTGC